GGGTAGGGCAGCGAGGTCGAGGTGCTTTGCGAGCGGCGGGAGCGGCTCAGATTCGAGAAACGCCGAAAGAACCGTCGCTGGTTCCTCCGCCCCCTCCAGCCGCTTCTCTTTCGCCTTCCCGCCGCGCTTCTCCACCCGCCGCAACTCGGCCCCCAGCAACGTCTGCGCCAGCACAAGACTTGCAACGACCACCCCGACATTCGCATCTCTCACAGCCCACCCGGCTCGTTTCGCACACTCGACCCTAACCGCCTCCCACTCCTTCTCCTCCCCCTTCTCTCCTCGTGAGCGGACGAGTATCCGCTCGAGGATCGTCAGAGCTGTCGAGCGCTGAGACGGCACGGACGAGCCTGTGAGAGCGACGAGAGAGGGGATCGTGAAAGTTGTCGAGGAGGAGACGTGGTGATCTGTCGATGCTGCTGCTTCGGCGGGTGAGTCGGTCGCAGACGAAGAGGCGACGGGTGCGCCGGTGAGGTCGAAGGTGCGAGTTTGAAGAGTGGCGGGAGTCGATGAGGAGGATGTTGAGGGCGGAGGGACGGGTCGAGTCCAGTCGAGCGCAGGGTTGGGCGGCTCGTTCGGGAAGAAATGGCGGCGGATGTACTCGGGACTGCCTTCCTCCTCATCTCCCTCTTCTCGCTTAGCCTCATCCTCCCTCTCCACCGGTAGCGGCCGCTTCTCCCCCTCGTCCCGCTTCGTCCCCTCCCGCTTCTTCTCCCCCTCTCCGCGTCGCCTTTGCCCCCTCATCTGCAACATCCTCAACACCCCCTCACTCAACCCCATCTCCTCCCTAATCTGCCTCTGTTCCTCCAGGATCTCCTCCTCGCTCATCCGCGAGACGAGATCCTCGTTCTCGCGCGAGACGGAGGTGAGGAGCGAGGAGAGCGAGTCGGTGGGGTTGGAGGTGAGGGATGCGGCGTCTGAGGATGAGGGTGTGGGCGTTGGAGGGATGAGGGAGGAGGTGCGGAAGACGCGTGGGCTGGAAGAGGCGGAGGCAGAAGGAGTTGGAGCGGGAGCCTGCGACTTGCGAGGAAAGACGCCTCGACCTGGTGCCGGGAAGCCCGTCGGCCGTAAGTTGCCCGGTGCAAGAGGAGATGGACGAGAAGGGCCAGGCGCAGCAGAAGGTTTGGGTCGCGAAGTCGGACGCTCGAGGACGTCCTTGATGATGTCGCGCCGCGGTAGCCCATCATCGTGTCCTGCAACTTCCGCGTCGAGCTCGTCTAGACTTAACTCGAACCGTTCTGCGCCTGTCGGTGTTGCCCGCTGTGCTGCCGCAGCTGCCTCCTTCTCCCTCTGCAAGGCGAACCGCGATTTCAGCTTGTGCGGCTTCGCTTCGGGCTCAGCGGGCGTGGTCGACGAGCTCGGCTTGATAAAGGGGATTGGTGCTGCAACATGCGAGTCCGCTCACGTCCCGCGAGCCTGCCTGAGAGGAGGCCGGACGCACGAGGAAGCGACGAGGCGACGGTCGGTGGGCGAGCCCGTGTCACTCGTGCGGCGGGCTGGGCGGGGGTGTCGAGCTCTGGAAAGGCTGGTTGGTCATAGTCGGACAACTCTGCGAGCGACGGGCGGATGTGCTGGGCCATCTCGAGTTCGCGGGTCGAGGGAGAGCTGGAAACGGGCTGAGTAAGCGAGGTGGTCGGTCCTGCCGACAAAGAGAGGGCTGCACGGTCCACAGAAAGTTGTAATCTGAACAATACATCCAGAGCAATCAGTACCGCTACAGTAGACGAGGACAACGCTCTTCTCTTCCTCATTCTCGCGGGTGCTGCCTCCTGTTCTTCTGTCATCCGATTCCGCTCCCGCGCCACGTGTACCGCAGCCCATTTGCAATTTGGCAATTTGAAAAGTAGCGCCCGCGCTTCTCGCCCTCGCCGCCAGCTTTCCCTCTCGCCTCGCTCCTCATCTCGCACTCACTCTGCTGGCCATGGACCGCACACCACCAGCACAGACAGCACAGATACAGCCGACTACGATGCACCCGCGACCCCCGCACGGCGAGCACGCCGCCGCTCACCCTCAACTCGACTCGATGGTCGACCGCGCTGCTCACCCGCCTCAACACACCCGTGCGTGCGAGCAGACGCCTCAGACGGACGTACTGAGCTAACGAACACTCCCCGCGCAGCCCCGCTGCAGCTCAAGCGACTCAAGCTGCTCGACCAGCTCCTTGCCCTCTGGATCCTCCTCGCCATGGCACTCGGCATCATCCTCGGCGCACTCGTGCCCAGCACCTCGGTCGTCCTCGAAAAGGTCCAGTTCGTCGGCGTGTCCCTCCCCATCGGTGCGCCCCGTCTCTTCTCCTCCCGAACTTTTCGAAGAAGCGACGGCCGAACCCGCCGCATTTCATATCGCTCGCTGCCAACCTCCTTCCGAACCTCCGCTTCCCACAGACTGACTCTCTCTCAACGACGTGCAGCCATCGCCTTGATCGTCATGATGTGGCCCATCCTCTGCCGCGTCTCGCCAGGCTCGCTCATCCCGCTCTTCCGCCAACGACAGCTCTGGCAACACCTCGCCTTTTCCGTCGTCGTCAACTGGATCGTCTCGCCCCTCCTCATGCTTGGACTCGCTTGGGCGTTCCTGCCGGACAAGGAGGACCTCAGGGAGGGGCTGATCGTCGTGGGCGTCGCGAGGTGTATCGCCATGGTGCGTGCGGGCGTCCATCTGCGACTGTCTCCTGCGCTTGTGCGTTGCGCGGTACAAGCGAGCTGACTTTGGCCACACGACGTCGTACGCAGGTCCTGGTCTGGACTGACATTGCCGGAGGAGACCTTGACTGTGCGTTCACGTCCATCTTCGTTGCGCACTCGCACCGGTCTGCCTCTTCGACCGCCTGGGCGGATAGTGAGCTGACGCACCTCTCGCTGATACTCGACAGACTGCGCGATCCTCGTCGCCTTCAACTCGATCCTCCAGATGGTCCTCTTCTCGCCCGTCTCGATCCTCTTCCTCCGCGTCTTCCGCACCCAACCTCTCGGCGACGTCGAAGCAGCAAGCGTGTCCTACTCGACTGTCGCAAAGAGCGTCGCCGTCTTCCTCGGTGGGCTGCACTTCCTCCTCCTCCTCGAGACTTGGCCTTCTCAACGTCCAGACCCGCCGCGCTGACGTCTGTCGCCGCTTGTGCACGCAGGCATCCCTCTCGCCGCCGCCATCCTCACGCGCTCCTTCTTCTTCGCGATCCGGAGGCAAAAGTTCTTCCAAGAGCGCTTCCTCCCCGCCATCGCCCCCCTCTCACTCATCTCGCTCCTCTTCACAACCATCATCATCTTCGCCGCGCAAGGCAAACAAGTCGTCCACTCGATCACCGACGTCCTACGCGTCATCCCGCCTCTCATCATCTACTTCTTCACAACTTTTGCGGCAGTCGTCTTCCTCCTCCGACAATTCCACGTGCCGTACCCACGCACAGCGACACAGGCTTTCACGGCGAGCAGTAACAACTTTGAGCTCGCTCAGGCTGTGTGTATCGCGACGTACGGGGCACAGTCGCCTCAAGCGCTCGCAGCGACCGTTGGACCGCTCGTCGAGTGCGTTTCCTCCCCTCCCTTCCCTCGATCACTCTCTCCCTGCAGAGCTGATGAATTGGTGTGCACGCGCGCAGAGTCCCAGTCCTCCTCTCGCTCGC